TTCTTTTTGCTTATGTGGTGCTGAGGAATCGAACCCAGGGCCTCATGCATGCAAGGCAAGCGCTCTACCACTGAGCCACCTTCCCAGCCCTCCATAAGACTCTTATCCCCAATAAACCACCAGAAAACCAGAAGTGACACTATGGCTCAAGTGGTAGGGTGCTAGCCTTGAGCAGAAGAGCTCACAAACAAGGCACAATCCCCAAGTTCAAGCCCCAAGACCAACAACAAAAAGAAGTCCAACTTTTAGTCAGATGCGAGCAGGTAACCCTGAGTTTCAAGTGCCAACCAAAAAAAGAGACAACTTTCAAAATGAAAAGCTCCTTTAAATGCAACCATATACAGCTTATTGATATTTGTGAATAAAATGAATATAAATGTTTAACCAAAAAAAGCATTTATAATTTGGTTTTTAGGTTCAGTGTAGTCAGGACATTTCAGTAAAAATGGGGGGAGATGGGGGGATGGAGATGGGAAGGGGAAACAAAGGAGGAGGCAAAAAATGCTTGATAAGAAATGTACTCATAGCCGGGCGCTGGTGGCTCACGCCTGTAATCCTAGCTACTCAGGAAGCTGAGATCTGAGGATCGCGGTTCAAAGCCAGCCCGGGCAGCAGAGACTGTGAGACTCCTATCTCCAATAAACCACCAGAAAACCGGAAGTGGCGCTGTAGCTCAAGTGGTAAAGCGCTCGCCTTGAACTGAAAAGCGCTCGCCTTGAGCTGAAGAGCTGAGGGACAGCGCCCAGGCCCAGAGTTCAAGCCCCACAACCGACAAAAAAAAAAAAAAGAAAGAAAAAAGAAATGTACTCATTACCTTGCACATGTAATTGTAACCCCTCTGTACGGTATTTTCACAATAAAAAAGAAAAATGAATTGCTGGGGCTGGGAAGGTGGCTCAGTGGTAGAATGCTTCCTTGCATGCACAAGGCCCTGGGTTCGATTCCTCAGCACCACATAAGCAGAAAAAGCCAGAAGTGGCACTATGGTTCAAGTGGTAGAGCTGAAGAGCTCAGGGACAGCATGCAGGCCCAGAGTTCAGGCCCCACAAGCAACAAAAAAACAAGCAAACAAAAAGAATTGCTGGACTGGGAATGTGGCTTAGTGGTAGAATGCTCGCTAGCATACATGAAGCCCTGGGTCGATTCCTCAGTACAACAGATCAGAAAAAGCCAGAAGTGGTACTGTGGCTCAAGTGGTAGAGTGCTAGCCTTGGGCAAAAAAAAGCTCAGGAACAAATCCCAGGACTGGCAAAAAAAAAAAAATGCTGAGTGTAACAGAAGTGAAGTTGATTGGAATACATGTTAAATGGACATGTAACAATGGAATGTAACAATATAATGTAACAATGAAATGTCCCCTGAAGTTGGATACCAGTGGCTCACTCTTACAATCCTAACTATTCAGGAGGTTATTATCTGAGGACTATGGTTCAAAGCCAGCCTGAGCAGACAAATTTAAGTGACTCCTATCTCCAATTATCCAACAAAAAGCTGGAAGTGAAGGTGTGGCTCACATGTACAGAGTCCCATCTTGAGTGAAAAAGTGTGAGATTCTGATTTCAAGACTCAGTACCCCCACCCCCACCATAAAAAAAAAATCACCCCAAGCACTTATAGTTCGTGGGCACCAGTGGCTTATACTTATAATCCTAGCTACTCAAGAGGATGAAATTTGGAGGTTTGTGGTTCAAAGACAACCCTGCAGAAAGTCTGAGAGATTCCATCTCCAATTAACTAGTTTAAAAGGTAGAGTTCCAGGGCTGGGAAGGTGGCTCAGTGGTAGAGAGCTTGCCTTGCATGCATGAGGCCCACATAAGCACCACATAAGCACCTCAACACCACATAAGCAGGAAAAGCCGGAAGTGGCGCTGTGGCTCAAAGTGGTAGAGCACTAGCCTTTATCTGAAGAGCTGAGGGACGGCACCCAGGCCCAGAGTTCAAGCCCCACGACTGGCAAAAAAAAAAAAAGAGGTAGAGCTCCAGGCATGAGCAAGAAAGCTGAGTAAGAATGCAAGGCCAGCCAAGTACTGGTGGCTCATACCTGTAATCCTAACTATATAAGAGGCTAAGATCAGAGGATCACAGCTCAAAAGCAGCCTGGGCATGAAAGTCTGTGAGACTCTTATCTCCAATTAACCATCAAAAAACCAAAAGTGGTGCTGTGGCTCAAGTGGTAGAGATACCCTTGAGCACAAAGAGACCCAGGGACAGCACCCAGGCCCTGAGTTCAAGCCCCAAGACTGGCAAAAAAAAAATGGCAAGGCTCCGAGTTCAATCCCAGTACCATCACCATTCCTCACACATATACACATACACACACTCAATTTAACAAGGGCTGGAAATGTTACTTAGGTGTCAGAGTACATGGCTAGTAAACATGAATCCCTGAGTTCAAACTCCAGAACCATGACCACCAACAACAAAAAATTGTCCTGCTTTGAGGAAAAAGTACTGAGGTAGCCAGCGGTGACATTATAGACCAGCAGAAAGTTGGGGCTCAGGCCAAATATACTGGAGCCAGGAGTCAGGTGATACTGTAGTCTATCTAAGGGATAGAGGGGGCAGAACTAGCTGATAGGCAAGACTCAAAGGAGAGGGGTAGGGAAAAAAGAGAGGACTCAGATGGGTCTCTTTTACGTAATTGAGCAGATGATGCTATCCTTTGTCATAAGAAAGGGGCTGAAAGGGAGAAAGCACTAAGGTACCACTAGGGCATTCAAAACCCATGTCAGGACAAATGATCCCCCTACATCTTTCACTTTGACATCTTCTATCTATACAGTATTATCTCACTTGACAATGCCAGCTTGTATTTCCAATTATACTTTGGAGTTCACAATAGGTCAGTAAGGCACTATGATTTCCATTATATAAATAAAAATATGAAGTTCAACTGGGCAGCGGTGGCTGACGCTTATAATCCTAGCTACTCAGGGGGCTGAGATCTGAGAATTGTGGTTCAAAGCCAACCCAGACAGGAAAGTCCATGAGACTCTTATCTCCAATTAACTACCAGAAAACCAGAAGTGGCACTATATAGTTCAGGTGGTAGAGAGCTTGCCTTAAGCTGGAAAGCTCAGGAATAGAACCCAAGCCCAGAGTTCAAGCCCAATGACCAACAAAAACAACAACAGAAAATAATTTTAAACATTTTAAAATGAGGGCTGGGAAGGTGGCTCAGTGGTAGAGTGCTTGCCTCACATGCATGAGGCCCTAGGTTTGATTCCTCAGCACCACATAAGCAGAAAAAGACAGAAGTAGTGCTATGGCTCAAGTGGTAGAGCACTAGCCTTGAGCTGAAGAGCTGAGGGACAGCGCCCGCCCTGGCCCAGAGGAGTTCAGGCACCACAACCGACAAAAAAAAAAACAAAAAAACTGAAGTTCATGCCTTACACCTTGTAACTGGAAGACAGCAGATTTTTTTGGGGGGGTCCGGTCCTGGGGCCTGCACTCTAGGCCTGGGCACTGTCCCTCAGCAATTCAGCTCAAGGCTAGCGCTCTACCACTTGAGCCACAGCGCCACTTCCGGCTTTTTTCTTTTTGCTTATGTGGTGCTGAGAAATTGAACCCAGGGCCTCAGGCATGCAAGGCAAGCGCTCTACCACTGAGCCACCTTCCCAGCCCCAAAACAGCAGATTTAAACACAAGGTAATTGTCACAAGTTGAGACTTTTTTTTTTTTTTTTTGCCAGTCCTGGGGCTTAACTCTGGGTCTGGGCACTATCCCTGTTCCTGAACTTCTTTTGCTCAAGGCTAGCACTTCCAGCTTTTTCTGTGTATGTGCTACTGAGGAATCCAACCCAGGACGCTTCATGCATGCAAGGCAAGCACTCTACCACTAAGCCACATTCCCAGCCCAAATTCAGGCTTCTTTCCCTGTAATATCCACTATAATGGTAAAAGGACTTATAGCTTCAAAATATTTCCATAGAAATGTTATCACTATCTGCCACCAATATCTCAAGCTATAATATTATAACCCTGAGGGAAAAAAGAATTCTACTGTCAATTATACAAGTTATAAGGAAGCCTAGTTGAACTAGGTCTATTTAATTTCATGTGTTTAATTTTTTTTTTTTTTTTTTTGGCCAATTGTGGGGCCTGAACTCTGGGCCTGGGCACTGCACTTCAGCTCTTCAGCTCAAGTCTAGCACTTTACCATTTGAGCCACAGCGCCATTTCGGCTTTTTCTGCTTATGTGATGCTGAGGAATCCAACCCAGGGCCTCATGAATTGAAGCAAGCAAGCACTCTTCCACTGAGCCACCTTCCCAGACCCCTTTTAATTATTAAATTTATTTGAAAATCTGTGCCATCATTTTTACAAACTAGCACATCATTCAATGTATTCTACCATGTCCACCATCACTTTTCCCGTTTTCTTTCTAGGTAAAAAAATGTGTAGAACAGGGCTGGGAAGGTGGCTCAGTGGTAGAGCACTTGCCTTGCATGCAGGAGGCCCTGGGTTCGATTCCTCAACACCACATAAGCAAAAAGAAAAAAGCCAGAAGTGGCGCTGTGGCTCAAGTGGTAGAGCGCTAGCCTTGAGCTGAAGAGCTGAGGGACAGTACCCAGGCCCTGAGTTCAGGCCCCACGACCGGACCCCAAAAAAAAAAAAATGTGTAGAACAATTGGTAGGTGCTAGAGGCTCACGCTTGCAATTTTACTCAGGAGGTTGAGACCCAGAACATTTCTGTTCAAAACCATCCCAGGAAGAAAAGTCCATGAAACTCCATCTAAAAATAACCAGCAGCTGGGCACTGGTGGCTCTGGCCTGTAATCCTAGCTACTCAAGAAGCTGAGATCTGAGGATTGCAGTTCAAAGTCAGCCTGGGCAGGAAAGTTCGTGAGACTCTTATTTCCAACAAATCACTCAGAAAACCAGAAGTAGTATTGTGGCTCAAGTGGTAGAGCGCTAGCCTTGAGCTGAAGAGCTGAGGGACAGCACCCAGGCCGAGTTCAAGTCCCAGGACTGACAAGAAAAAATAACCACCAAAAAGCAGGGCCAGAGGTATGACTCAAGTGTCAGAGCAACAACAGAGCAAGAACAATGCCTTGAGTTAAAATACCAGTACCAATAACAACAATAACAACAAACAAAAACCTATGGATTTCATTAATAAAAGAACTCCAGGGACTGGGAAGGTGGCTCAGTGGTAGAATGCTTGCCTTGCATGCATGAGGCCCTGGGTTCGATTCCTCAGCACCACATAAGCAAAAAGAAAAGAAACCGGAAGTGGCACTGTGGCTCAAGTGGTAGAGCACTAGCCTTGAGCTGAAGAGCTGAGGGACAGCGCCCAGGCCCAGAGTTCAGGCCTCAAAACCGGACCCAAAAAAAAAAAAAGGAACTCTAGTAAGACCAGGTACCAGTGACCTGTAATCAGCTACCCAGAAGGCTGAGATGTAAAAATCAAGGTACAAAGCCAGCCAGGGAAGATAAGTCCATGTGACTCTTATCTCCCAATAACTACCATAAAGCAAGAAGTGGAGCTATGGCTCAAGTGGCAGAGTACCAGTCTTGAGCAAAAAAAGCTCAGGGGTAGGAAAGTGGCTCAGTGGTAGAGTGTTTGCTTTGCATGCATGAGGTCCTGTGTTCAATTCCTCAGCACCACATAAGCAAAAAGGAAAAAGCCAGAAGTGGCGCTGTGGCTCAAGTGGTAGAGAGCTAGCCTTGAGCTGAAGAGCTGAGGGACAGTGCCCAAGCCCAGAGTTCAGGCCCCACAACTGGACCAAAAAAAAAAAAAGCTCAGGGGCAGCACCCAGGTTCCTGGCACACACAAAAAAAACGTATTTCAATAAATGAAAGCTGTAGCTACAGTATCTACAACTGAGATAATTTATTTTTTAATAATTTTCAAAATATGTATAAACATAAATGAATCAAATCACAAAAATTAGTAAAACTATTATGACTATAGTTTTATAAAAGTTTAATATTGTATACAATACTTTACTTTCTACACACACATACACACACAGGTACAGAATGTTCAGTTTAACAAGCATGAAACTAAAAGAAAATGACCCTTACAAAACAGCAAGGACGCCCAAGGAGTGTTCTTGTACATCCAGAGCCCCGAGCACAGTGTCCAGATGGGACAAATTCTTCGCAAGGAGTTCCCCGCTCTTGTTGATCAGTTCGCAAAGCTGGGTCATTTGCCCTGCAAAACAGGAATGCTAGCATTCAGTCACAGTACTAGCCCAACTAAAGGAACAATAATCAGACTTTGTGCTTAAAGCTGAAATGCCTAAATATGACTTCTTATGTCTCGTTCCCTTCAGTTGAAGACTGGAGGAAACAAAGAAGTAAAACTATCCGTATATGCCTTAGAACTAATCAAGAGATGCCGGGCGCTGGTGGCTCACGCCTGTAATCCTAGCTACTCAGGAGGCTGAGATCTGAGGATGGCAGTTCAAAGCCAGCCCCGGCAGGAGAGACCGTGAAACTCCTATCTCCAATAAACCACCAGAAAACCAGAAGTGGCGCTGTAGCTCAAGTGGTAGAGAGCTCGCCGTGCGCTGAAGAGCTGAGGGACAGCGCCCAGGCCCAGAGTTCAAGCCCCACGACCGACCAAAAAAAAAAAGAACTAATCAAGAGATGATACCAGACCCTGTTCTCTCTAGTCTCTGGAAGTTTCTCCTTTTCCTCTAGTCTTCTTCCCAGTCCCCTAAGCCAGAAATATATACATTACTGTTACCACCTCCTTCATCTCATTCATTATACACAAAAGGTCACCAAATATGACTTAATTTTACCCTCTAAATCTTTTAGCTGTATTCCTCTCTCTCTCTTTTTTTTGGGGGGTCCGGTCGTGGGGCCTGAACTCTGGGCCTGGGCACTGTCCCTCAGCTCTTCAGCTCAAGGCTAACGCTCTACCACTTGAGCCACAGCGCCACTTACGGCTTTTTTCTTTTTGCTTATGTGGTGCTGAGGAATCAAACCCAGGGCCTCATGCATGCAAGGCAAGTGCTCTACTACTGAGCCACCTTCCCAGCCATCCTTTCTCTTGCCTTAATTTAGATTTCATCATTTCTTGTCTAGAGTATATCATAAATCTTCTAATAGTATGTCTATTTCCATATTTCCTCCAACCTATACTTCATACTGGTACTGACCAATCTTTCTAAGATGAAATAGAGAAGGGCGCTAGTAGCTCACACCTATAATCCTAGCTACTCAGAAGGTAAAGGTCTGAAAACTGAGGTTCAAAATCAGCCCAGGTAGGAAAGTTGCTGAGATTGTCATCTCCAAAATGCCTGAGGTAGAGGTGTGGCTCAAGTGGTCGAGTGTCAACCTTAAGCAAAAAAGCTAAGGGACATCAGGTGGACCTGTTTCAACAATGAGAAGTACAAGTTGTCATGTCCAAAACAAGCTTTACAACGTCGTCGGTGGGGGGGGGAAGGAGAAGGATTGGCCCGGAGGCCTGAGGCCC